CGAAAAATTAGGCGTCTATTTACTTGTGACCACTCAGTATATATATATATTATATGCGCGTGTACAAAAACGTTGATATATATATTTTAAACTCAATATTCTCTGCCTTTTACCTTATTTTCATAAACCACGGTAGTGGTTCATAATAGGGATCGCTCATTTGTTCTTTTTTTATCATTATGTAATATTTTCCACCGGCCTACAGCAAAAATGGCTGCGAGTGTTGTAGTAAAATCTGGGCAATATTGCTAAACGCATCATTGCGCATTGTGTCGGGTAGTTTTTAAGTTTATTTAAGTACCTAGCCAATAAAAGTGCTGTATAACCGTTGACACCCAATCGGTTTAATTAATGCAGTCTGTAGTTTATATGGAGCCTCATAATCTACTACATGCATATGTATGTAGCTGCGTGCAGGCCGTGGGTGCAATTTAATGTTTAAATGGCAGACATAACACATGTACCATAGCGTTTATTAACTTAATGTTGCAACTGTGTTGATGTCGCGTATCAGTTATTTATACATAGAGTTCCTACCCTTTCAGACACGACACTGTTGACAGGATCAGTTATTATTATTATTATTATTACTGCATGATCGATTTCGGCCATATTTCACAAACGTCTAAAACGTTATACAAACGTTAAAGTTGACTTCCACAAGCCTTGCTTTAAAAGATAGAACCATGCAAGCAGGAGATGACGAAAGTGAGACAGAAATTTTATAGCTATATATTTTATTTAGAAAATATTTAGTTTCAGATAAAGTATGCAGAATTTAGGGTTGTCACAATGGAAGAGGATCGTAAAAGTGTTACGATCCAAACTCCATCAGAAATGGGCGGGATAAAGGTATATTAATATAACCAATTTGTCATTGTTAGTTAACCGTTTTCGACCTTGTGGAGTGTATAGAACGTCACTCTTAGAGGAAATCTGGCCAGCTGCACCAAAACCGTGACTGGCCTTAATATGGCTAACAGAAAGGAAGAGGAAGGGGAAATATAAAAACTATAAGAAATGTTAAAAATGCTTATTTATATAGATATCCTATTATATTATGACAAAATTGTCTTATATTTCCATTGAATATACGTATACATGCATCTATACAACTTTAAAAATTCGTATGGCTATCTATACATATACAGCTTTACAACTAAAAAAACTATAAAGCCAACTTGCATGTATACAACTCATGGGTTATAAAATTCAGTCCATGCATTATTCCAATATAGTTCAGTAGTCCCTCCGATCCAGTGTTTACAGACTCCCCCATTTAGCTACAGCGTATAAATATAGTAGCTATATAACATGTGGTATGTTGATTACCATGCATCATAGTGATCTTGCATGCAGCACTACTATCAATGATAACATTGTGGCAATGATATCAGGAGCAATGTCTATCCAGTCAGCATGAAGTCAATCAAAGGTTGTCATTGTTTCCTGAGAGAACATCATAAACCAGCTACGTATTTCATTCAACTAAACTGTTTCAAATAGGACATTTATTAATATTATACAGATTTATGTCCATGATGGACATAACAAAAACTAAAGAGACGATTTTATTAAAAAGTGTTCGTTTACAAAGGGGGAATATGGATCTTCAAAAAATTGCAGAAACCAGACTGGTAGCTTAAAGTGAAAAATGCAATCGCAAAAAAAGTAAAAAATAATCTTAAGGTTTAAGACATAGTGTTGAGATTATTTCCTCAATGAACAAATCCCTATTTTGACTCTTTTAAATATTACAGCTTTTAGACATAAAGTAAAAATAGGGATTTGTAGCTTGAGGAAATAATGTCAACACTATATCTCAAACCTTATACTTGTTTGTTTACTTTTGTGCGAGTGCATTTTCGCTTTAAGCTACTTATTTTGTTTCTGTAATTTTTTTATAATTTTTTAAATTAAAAATTTTTAATAATCTTGTATTATTGGATTGTTATGACTATGTATTAAAATAAATTATAATTTTGGTTACGAAAAGATGGATTTACGAGTTTCAGTTTAAAGTGGTGCAATCAATCATCCATACTTGTCAAACACTTTTTTTATGATTTAAATTTAACAGCAGTCTTTTTATTGACATCTCACACAGTTACATCACAGCAGATAGCATATTTGTTAACCCTGCTCGGTTCGTTCACAAGCTCCGCCCCTTGCGCACATGCGTCATACGCGAACCGTAACAAATTAAAGGTACGCAGACGACTACGCGTTACCGTGTTTTTTAAAAAATGGCGGAAACTTGTATTTGTAACGTTATTACTGTTAGAGATTCACTACCTCCTACAAGCATTCTTTACTGGTTTCTGAAAGCACGTCACTAAATAATATTTAAATTCAAAGGAGTTATAAATCAAGAGAACAGCAATGGTGAGTGAATGTTATATAATGAAACTTACTGGCAGATATTTTACGCATTGCTGGGCTTAGGCTAAATACAAAACTAAAACAGTAAAAGTACTAACAGTTCCTAGCCTATTTTAAAACTAATTCTAAGTTCTATAAGTTATAAGACTATGAGAAGGACTGGTGACTTTTTGTGAGAGCGGAGTTGGATTTAGTCCCATTGTTAGTACGAGAGGAGTTCAGAAAGTGAATTAGTCATTAATTAGGAGATACCAACTTGTAATTAGTTTAAATTTAATGACACTAGATAGTTATATCCTGTGTCACTGGTTTTCCAACACTGAAGTCTTCGACTCGATCTTTGGTAAAGGAGGATACAGCGGAACTTTAACTTTTAAGCGAAAGAGTAGGTTATTTCGGTTTTCCCGGTGTACATTATTTTCCCAAATGACAAAATTGGCACAAATAACCTTAATATTTTTGCGCCGTAAAACCATAAACTAATTAGTTTATATACTAAGTATAATGAGAGTATACTCCATTTAATTAAAATTTTACATAAACAAAATTATATTTGGAATTATGGCAGGACATCATACTCACAATGCCTAGATCTTCTATCAAAATAATTGTAACCTATTTTAGACACACACACACAATCCTAGAGTTAAAACGACTTAGATAAGGATATTCTATGCCCTTTGCCCTTAAGTGTCTATGTACAGATTACCTACCAAAGTATCCATCAGGATACTACTACAAGATTTGAGCAATTGTATTCCTTCAACATGAAATTGAAAATTTTGTGTCTGTGTTAGATGGTTATAATTCTGTTTGCAGTGGAAAAGCCCTAATAAACAGATGTCAGAAGAATATATTGTATATGCTTCTGTACTCCTATGGTGTGAATTACACCAACTCATGAAACAGTGATGAACAGGTTCTTGGGGATGTTAGAGGTGGTGTGGACAAATTAAGGCCTTCCTTTAGACTTCATTAATATACTAATGTAGAAAAATAAGAATGGTTTAAGAATGCAGTAGAAAAACATTAATCTTCTTTTTCAGAGAAATGTTTTAGGACCCAAAAGTCATAAATTTTTTTATGGTAAATGATGATTGGAAAGTTAAAAGATCACTTCAGGAAATATGGTGTTCAGGGTTATGTTATCACCCTTTGTTAAAAATAATAATCCATGACATTTCTGCCATTTTTCTTGACACTTCATGACCTTGCATCATCCCTCATATCTATCCTATCCATGTGCCATTTCATTTATTTTTAAATTTTATTTAATAAACATTTCATAAAGTCATAGTTTACCATGGATATTTTTTTAGTCCACTTACCATGACTTTTCTAGGCATGGAAATTAACTTTGAAATTTCTCAGGATTTGCAGGATGCATGGGGATCTTGAATGTTGTTGTTTTGTCAATTTCATATTGAAAAACTATGTGTCTGATTGTTAAGAGTCGAGGGATAAACTAGGTTATATGTCATAAACAAATATTGTACTTTATTTTAAGTGCCTTTTTTATGCAAATGATAAGTAAAAATGAAGATTAGGTGCATGGATATTAAAAGACTGCCAGATTGCTACATGTTTTCAACATTACTTAGTGTATACAGAACTAATGGGGGAAAGATATTGTGAGTGGTCACTTTGTGACAGATCTGGTCTATTAACAAGTGACACTAAAACTACAAATTATTTCATAAATTTCATAAAATTTTAAAGGGACAAAAAAGGAGCTTATTAGCCCATCAAGAATGTCCCTTCCAGCTCCCAACTATAACAACTCCTCACTACTCATATATTCATCCAATCTTTTCTTGAACTTAGTTAAATATTCTGCCTTCATCACCCTTGAAGGCAGCTCATTCCAAAACCTAACCACCCTGTTTGAAAACTGCAGATGACTCCTATGATTTGCCAAAATTTGAATTTATGCCCCTGTTGTTTTCACTGCTAAGCACAAAAAAAGTTTGATGAATCTATATTATCAATACCCATAATAATCTTAAACACCTCAATTAAATCCCCTCTGACCATTCTCCTCTGTAGAGATTTTAGTCTCTCCTCATAGGACAATCCCAGGTATCATCCTAGTGGCTCTTCTCAGAACCATCTTCAACATCACATTATTCTTCATACATCTTATTATCATTAAATATCAAATGTACTTACAGTTGCATGTGTTGAAACATATGCTAAAAAGGAAATTTCTTCCAAAAGGTTTGAATATTTCTAAAGATGCTGTGCAAAATCTTTCACTTCAAGGATGGTTCACCATTTAGAATGAATCTGACTTAACTGAAATATATTCTGTTGACACTGAAACTGGAGTTTGCAACTGCTACATATGCTCATTTGTCTAAATGTACAAGCATATTTCAGTTGTTTTACTCAAACATGTTTGTTATCTAATGTTTGAAGCTGCACTTGGTATAAAAGTTGAAGAAAATCAGTTGAAACCACTTAATTTCATCTCGGTGAATGACAAGATAGTACAAGTTGATAAGCCAAATATTCAGTTAAAACTGCATTCATTCCCAAAGCTCAAGGATATACACCAGACACTAAAAAGGCCTAACAATGACTAATAAAAAAGGGATCAACAGAAGTCCTTGTGGAGAAAATTATGTTTGGAATAAGAAAATTGTTTTCAAATATAGAACAATTTATCAAAATGAAAAATAGTCTTGTTTGTGTGTTAGTTATTTACATTTGATAAAGACAGGCTGGGAAACAAAAAATACATTTTATAACAAACAGACTAAAAAGAAAAGAATGCATATTGGAGTGCAACTAACAACCACTGGAAGAAGGAAGTTGTGTTTAAGATTAGGATGAAAAGGTAGTGCTAGCCATCCAAATTTTTTAGAAAAAGTCAATTCATATGAAATGACGTTGTTATACCACATTTGGAAAGCTACCTAACATAAAAAAGAACCACATAATTTACAATTCATGTGTTTATAGTAACATTACTTTAGGCAAGAAACATTAAGATAACTGATAAAATTAACATTAAGTTAAATATTTATAACCAAAATGTGCCTTCATGTTTAAGTGGTATGATGCATTATTAAATTTTGTTATGATAAATAGGCAATTCCACGTAGATTAGTTACTATTAAAACAATGATTTTTTCCTATTTAGGCTTAGATCTTCCCTTTCCTTTGCAGAGTAAAGTAATTATGTCAATTTAAAACAACAACAACATATATTTATTCATTTAATAGCCAGAAAAAAAAGGATGAAAAGAGTTTATGTAAATTACAACATAGCATCTTCCTGAAAGAAAATATTTAAAACTTTGCCCTTTACAATTATTTAAATTAGCAAGTTAAATATTCATAAAATAAACCTAATATAATTTTCATTACTTCTTAAATTTACCTAGAACCACTCTGAGGTCAGATATATGATTCTTAATTCTTCAATTACAGTCACGTCCCCATGTTTGTTATACAGTTTCAAATTATCAAGTTTTAGATATTTAAACAAAACACGATAATTGCATAACAAATTTACAGATATATTACAGAATTAATTACAAACTATCATCACTATTCATGTGTTTATTTGTGGTCAATTATTGGTTATATAATCTCACATCTGTCAATTTTGAAAACTTGCATTACTCCTGTAATAGCTAAATATAATGGTAATTATTAATTTTAATTATTCATCTTTTTTTTCGATGCAATTATTTTGGACTTTAACAAGTGTTAGGAGGAGCGTCATATCCTAACGATAATTATAAACGTCTTTCTTATAGTTAACTACACATTATGTAACTAGGTGCAATTGTCAGAGTATACATACTACTATTACTAGGTATGGCTATACACTGCATAACGTGTACTGCAGTGAAAGGTACCTACCAATAATTATCAAAAACAATGTAAATGATAACTCTTAGATTTATGGTTATATAAACTTTATTATGGCAGACATAACATTGTTATATTTGCAGACTTGCCAAAATTAAATTTGAATAGTAACCCTACCGAGGCAAGGGAAAAACAGCAAAAAATGTAAAAAAAAAAAAGTTATTTAATACTTAATAATTACAGTGTACTACTTACTGATTAAAAGCCCTGTAATAGGACTCTAGGATTTCTTTAGGAAATCTTCTGTAAATTCGTACCTAAACTTCCGCTTGCTCTAAAATTTTGTTTTTTCTTTGTTGGCGTCATTGGGGACGAAGCAAAACCACGTTTTTGCGCTATTTTCCTCTCAAAAAACGATCAGCGCACCCTAGACGCTAACTACTTACAACACGTTTTATTAATAGACTATTTCAAGCATAGCGGAGGGCGTTGAATTATTTCCAGAAAAATATCAGTAGAAAAAGAAGTCGGTGAAAAAATTTCAGAATTTCGCATAAATTCATAAAATAACAATTCGTACATGCGTAAAATAAAAAAAAAAAAGAAAATCGGAACAATTACACCTAAATCATAAGATTTGGCAGGTCTGTATTTGGTGCCTTTTTTTTTCTTTTTCAGAGGCCGATATAAGTTCAGTTTTAGTGATTAATTGTTGTATTACATTTCTTGATGAAATAGTTTTCATAACAACCTTATTATTACAGGACTAAAAAAAAAAGACAAAATGCGGGAAAGTTTCCATTATACTACAAAATACAGTTATTAAAATGCTGATACCCTATATAACTACTTATAGAATATTTTTCTTTTCATTACATTACAGAATAGCTGCTTTATTATTACTGAACTATTTTAGGTGGAGGTTTATGGTTCTTATTTTTGTAATAATAGTCTGGTGAGGGTTGAGTATTTTACGAATGTAGAAATTAAAAGTTTTGTTTTTCATTAATAACTATTTCTACTTTTGATTTTTAAATAATATATTTTCAATTTTATTGGATAATTAATGAATTTTTTTGTTGTGATATCTGGCTTATTACTGTTACAGAATTTAAATAAAAACATTGAAATTCTTGAACTCGTAAAAACAAGTGTGTGAAATTAAGTACGAGTTACGTGTAGTCAGAATATTTTCATAAAGGATTTACAGCTACTACTTTTATCTAAAATAATTAATCTCACGTGACTTTTATTTTCTATAATTACATTGTGATTATCCTAAACCACTCCAAATCGCAGAGATACCATAACCACAAAGTGTACTGCCATGAAACATCCCTGGATTTGTCAGACATCTTTCCAATAAGCCAAGAATCGTCGGGGAAGTCTGTCCAATTACTTTTTTTTTGTACCTGCATGTATTTATTAAACAGAAGTGTACACTCAGCTGAATTTCATAGCACAATTGTCTCTCTTTCTTAACCATGCGGTACTTGTCCACAGATCCATCACGTACGTTTTCCATTCATTATAAAAAAGACAGCTGTTATAATAAGAGTCAGCAGTATACACACTGGATTGCACTACGTATGTGGCTGGCCGGCAGCTATTCTCTCTCTCTGTTCCCTAGGCAACATAACTGCATGTTTCCGTTAGATTAAGAGTTGAATATATAACTGGAGAACCATAAACTTTAGTAGTATTGTGTGTGTTTGAGAGAGAGAGAAAGATTACATCAAACTGACAAAAACAAGGTATAGTTAAAAATATTACTATTGTCTTTTTTTTTGCTTTTTTTTTTTTACTGCAAACCGCAAGAGGCCAGTAAATAATGATAAAATATAAACACGAACTTTTAACTCTAGGATTCACAATCCGGGCACGCTAACCACCATGTCACTATCAGCCCCTTATAAAATAGAAAAACGACGAACATTACATGTTGTTTGTATAGACAATTTCAGTTAAACTAAAGTGTGTTAGGTCTTTACATGGACAATCCCGCATAGGTTTGTACAACTTGACTAAAAACTTTTTTTCAAGAAATATTTAACTTCCGTTTTGGTTTATCGTGCAAATAAAACAGCTAATTCGTACAGCTACTTTCACGCTAAATTCTAACACACTATAGTTTTGTGAACAATGTTATTTACTCATACCATTCAAAATCATCTCGTATACTCTGAAACAACTTACTGGTTGATTTTTATTCTCGTCTTTAGACTCTCAACGTAACGATGAAATCATTTTAAATCCCAAAGTACAACCAAGGGCTCGAAGCTGTAACATTTTGTCAGTGTTAAGAATAGATTTCCCTAGCTTATAACAATCCAGTGAGGTTTAACAATACTTCTTCTTTCCTGTGAAGAGGCTACTTGGGTTACTCGTGCTACGACATAGCGTTTTTGTTGATTTTCCTGTTACTGCTTTTCGTCAGTCCCTTTTGTCGTCTCTGTTCAGACTGAATCTATCTTTCACTACGTCTTAGCTAATGGTTAGTGCTCATGTATCTTCTACTTGATCAAAAATATTACTAGAGCAATGCTACATTTTCTAACAGTTACCCCCCTCCTGTCTCCCGTTGGGACAGCGGTACGTTTCCGGATCCAAAACGCTAAAATCCGGAGTTCGATTCCCCCTGTGGAGACAAACAAATAGCCCAATGTGGCTTTGCTCTAAAACAAACTCCATCCTTCTTCAACGTTCCGTGATTGTTCCTTTTAGCAGAATTTCTTTTTTAATGCTGATTTTCGATCTTTTATATCGCTGTACATTCCATCCGAGCCGAACGTGGCCGGCCTAGTGTTTAGGGTACCGGACTGTGGACTCTCAGATCAAATGTTCGCAATCCGTTATTGGAAAAAAAAAAATCGCTCACTGCACTTTCGGAGCGTGGTAGCGTTACATAAGAGTGCTGGTCAAATCCTACTAATAGATTAGAGTAGCTCAAGAGTTTCCGGTGGTTGGTGTTGACTAGCCGTCTTATCCTATGATCTATCATCTCAAAATCAGGGACAGCTGGCGCAAATAGCCCTTGGGTAGCTTAGAGCGAATATCCGAAAAACAAAATAAAACATTGAATACATTCGGTTTTTGTTTAAATCACGTCAAAGGATAAGCCACATTAAACATAAAGCACCCCCCCCCCCCAGTGGGTCAGCGATAATTTTACGGGTATACATCCCTAAATCTGGTGTTCGATTCCCTGTGGTGGACAGAGCGCAGATCGTTTATTGTGTAGCTGTGTACTAAACAAAAAACATAACACAGTGGGAAGATTCTGTAATGTACAGCATGAGAAATGCATATGACACCCTACTGTGATCTTACCATTTTAAATTTATCAGCATTGCATGTGATGAATATACAATAAAGATAAACAGTCTACTGATCAAAGAACTGAAACAGGCTCAAACCCAAACCAGTCGTCTATTTTCACTGCTTTGAAAAGTTCAGCAAATTCAAAGAAATCCCAATTAAACTTCACTATGTAATCTGACAGAGAAGTAGAATTAAAAACTAAGAGAGAAATACTATTAAAATGGTACATAAGAAATAAATAATTTCTAGTCACAAACAAGATAAATTATGCAAACACTGAGTATGAAAAGCATGATGTGAGATGCATATCATGCATCTAAGTATACGAGCTCGCAAAGACCGACGGCCAAAAATAAAAACCAATTTAAAACCAGTACTCCAACAACGAAACTCAAAGGTGAACGAGCTGTAGTTAAACTACCGTTGAAGCTATGTGGCGCCAAAATGATAGATATGGCGACATTTTTCTTTATTATTATTTTATCATTTTTAACTGACTGCTGTAACGAATAACATTTTGCTTGATTTTTTTTTTCAAACCAATGTTCGTATGGATATTGGCCCCCATCCCTGTTAGACTCACTGAAAATTAAATGTTCGGAATTAACCCCATTCATTTATGAAGTAATGTGGGTCACCTTATATTTTAATATCACTAACATTCGCTCGTTTCGGAATGTCTTCTTTTGAACGCCACAATCAATTGAGGAGCGACTTCAACGATTCGAATAATTAAACTATTATTCTAAGCCTAACTTACAGTTGATAATAAATTGCCGAGCTTGATGTTAAAAGGTTCTTAAATCATCTCCTTCGGTCTTAAAAACCTGCGAAAAAAGTTGGCTTTACTTTGTGACCAAGAAAGTTATAGTACTTTTACCGTATTTGCGCACTTTTTTCTTCCAAATACCTCCCCAAAAATTAACTGCGCATTATATTCGCGCACGTTCAATTTTGTTAGGTATTTTTACTAGAAGCTATCATCGAAAATCATTAAAGGTTTCAAAAAATGTTGCATATCCAATGCAATGGATGGGGCGGATGATGACATTCTGTGGGAATTAGAAGAGGATGAAGCGAAGGTTCAAGGAACTAAAAGAGATAGTAGCGACAATTCTAGTGATGACGAAGATTTATGTGAAGATGAATGATTAGCTTGGGTGTTCCATCCGAGATTGATAGGTGCTCCG